CTGCGCATAGTCGTCCCTAATCTTGAAGCGATATACGAAAAAACACGGGTAGTGAACATTAACTGACTCTTCAGATACTCTTATTTCATTGAATAGTTCGGTTTGATCACCACACTTATAGCAAAGTGTGAAGCCCTTTTTTGCGGCTATAGGTCGAACTGTGAGTCCTCGAATTTACAGTTCAGGAAAGCTAACGCGTTTTGTTTCACCTGATTTTAAAAGTGGATTATATGAAAACAAATACATTTTAAGCCTTACTACGATGTATTATGATGTTATATTGGGATAACAATGTAGTTACTTTGTACTTAATATTAGTTTCTACAGTAATAATATTAAACTTATGATCAAGTTGTAATTTATTAATAAGATTTGTCTGTTTTGAAGTTAACTACACAATGAGCTATCTATGCTCTGCCCACCACAGGTATTGAAACCCGGTTTCTAGCGTTGCAAGTCTATAAATAAACAGCCCTCAAGTAGTAAATCTTATTGTGGTTTTTCAGATTTGTAGGCAACAGCAAAGAAAATTATATAATTTGATTATTATTTTCCTCATTTTTGGATTTTACAAACAAATTTTAAAAATATCCTTTTACGTTGTGTCAAGACATTAAATACTGAAACATGGAAAACAGTTAACATGTTATTGTTTTATCAAGAGTTTAAACAACAAGCAACAGGTATCATCTTGTATTTCTGTCGGTATTCTAAAGAAAAATTGACAATAATCTTGTTATGTACTGTTGTTATTCTTATCACATTATCATTGTATTATATCTTCCTATTCTTCAACTATTTCAGAAACCAGAAAAAAAGTGTTTTGATGATAATACATCTATTGGGATGATGTTGTCAAATTTGTAATTATTTTAGATAATAACAAAACCATGACGTTTTTTTAAGTTCCGTAAAAATATTAAAGGATTACAATGCTAATTTTGATATATTATCTTAGCTTGAAATATGTTTCATACAGCGATATTTCTACTATTATACTATTTATTTTTACTCTACAAATATCTTAAGCCAACTACATACGACAAAGACGGCTGAGTTTCAACGAAAGGCTCTCATTCCCTGCCCCCCCCCCCAAGCAACAATTCGATGAACACGGTAATTTTGTTTCTTTCAGTACATTCATAACTTCGAAATAAGAAAACAAAAACCATACCCACCCTTAACTGAGCATGTTTCGTTTAAAAATATATATACATGCAAAGCCTAATAGTGCCACCAAGGTTACTTCAAAAGCTTTGAAATCCGATGTATTACAGATTCTTTTGTTTCACTGAAGGTCAAACGTGAAAATCACGACATAAGCCTTTACTGCAAGAACCTTATTGTTTCTCTGAGAAGGATGCAAACTCGTGGTAATTGTTTGCTTCCGTACATTTTTTTCAAGTGAAATTAAAGCTATTATTATAGTTGAACGGAAGGGAATTTATGTCATTTGTTGATTTTTAGTTATTTGAATGTTTAGAGTTAACGGTACAAAGACCATACGAAACGATTTTCTTTTTTCATTATATGTTTCACTGAAATTAAATATTACATTGAAAAAGTCACCAAATGTGTTTCAATTTACACTTACGAAATTGATAGTTCACGAGATTAAGCAAGTATAAGAGCTATGACCACCTCGAAAGCTGGGTGCTCTCAAACTCTTTTTCACAAAAACAGAAACAAGAGTTAGGTAAAAAAAAACGTCATTAGTAAACCTTCCCCAATTACAGATATATATGTTACGCCTCTGTGTTCGTTGGAAATAATTTCCGTAAAAATTATTTCCGAAGAAACTTTAGCGACACAAGTCCTTTCTTAAATAAAACGAGTTTATTCTTTTTCAATTCAACTTTGTAATACACTGAATTTCCACAATCACTTTAAACACACGCTATAATTCACAATGATTCACGCACTTACTTACGGTCACTACCGCGCTTGACTCAACTGTCCGTATTTATCTCTGTCTGCAATTTAATTCCGATTGATTTGACTCACGTTATCTGGCGCACTTATATACAGGAATAGAGGGCGCCTAGCACATACTGGATTATACGTGATGTTCCCCGATCCTTCGAGAATATCATGACGTGTTACCAGCGTCACGTGACTACCGCTGTCGTAACATATATATATATATATATAAATCTACACTAATTGGTATTGATTATGATCGGCCTTGTTAGACTGGTACAAACTAAAATAGCTCAATACTGAAATTCTGAGCTGTTAACTAATGTATAAGCTTGATATGCTTATCAATACACAATTCTAAAATATTTTTGTTACTCTAAGAATCTAGAGTGAAACCACCGGTAAAGCGAATGTATTTACACGACTGAAAACATATAGCTTATGAAAATATCATTTAATTCATTTAATTATTAATTTAAAAAACTGTTATTCTTCTACAGCACTTGGTCCTAGCATATTTGTACATTTTAATTCGAACTAACTAAAGGTAATAGTTTTTGAAATATATACAATTTTATGCATATGATAGAATTAATAAATCTTTAATTTAACTGCTACGAACTGTAATTATTGAAATATATGAGTAACAAGGTGAACGTTCGTTCTAATTACTTTTCGAAATTTGTCACAATAAAGAAAAACAGTATATATATTATAAGCTATCACAATATGTTGTCATATCGCTCTGTATTAAAGTGCTTAAGATAAAAAACTACATCAATGCAATTTTCAAGCTATTTATTCATATTGTACAAACTTGTTTAAAATTAGGTAGAACTTTTTTGAGTCCTTGGTTTCGTAGTGCCAGTTTAGTTTAATATTACGGACTGCGACCTAGTCATTAATACAAATATACACCTTGATCAAAGCTTTCTATCTTCAGAATAATATAGGATTTTTGAATCTTAATTAATGAAGAAACAGTCATAATGTAAAACTATTTTAACGATTTTACTGATACATTTATTAGTTGAGCCGTTTGAAGTTGGACAAACGTCATTACCAAAACTCCAATTATTATTGTTACGACAGCGGAAGTCACGCGACACTGGGAGCATGCGCGCTGGAGTTTCTAGAAGGATCAAGAATTATCGAGGAACTCTGCGAATGTCCTAGTGTTTGCCAGGCGCCCTCTATTTTTAGTATATAAGCCTGGCGAGAAAAAAGCAAAAAGTCCGAGATAGATATATCGGAGATATAGATAATTGAGTCAAGCGAATAGTAGAC